ATATTTCTCCCTCAGTTTCCCCAATCTCTCCTCAGTTCCCCATCTCCCCTCAGTCCCCCCATAACTCTCCCCTCAGTTTCCCCACCTCTCCCTCAGTTCCCTCATATCTCTCCCTCAGTTCCCCATCTCTCCCTCGTTCCCCCCATAACTCTCCCCTCAGTTTCCCCATCTCCCTCAGTTTCCCCATATCTCTCCCTCATTTTCCCCATCTCTCCCTCAGTTTCCCCAGCCATCTCTCCATCAGTTCCCCATCTCTCAGTTCCCCATCTTTCCCTCAGTTCCCCCCTATAGCTCTCCCTCAGTTCCCCATCCCCATATCCCACTCAGTTCCCCATCTCTCCCCTCAGTTCCCCCATCTCTCCCTCAGTTCCCCCCCATCTCTCCCTTAGTTTTCATTCCCCCCCTCCTTGAGCTCCTACCGTGTGGCGAGCGCGGAGCCCAGTTTCCTGTACCCGGCGGACAGGAAGTGCTCTCTCTGTGAGCACTTCATTTCCGTCCGCCCGGGTACAGGAAAGCGGTGCGCTCGGCCACACTACACAGAGTGCCTGGCAGCTATGCGCTCACCTCCTGCCGGTCACTCCGGCTTTGCGCCCGCCGGGCCAGTGCGCCCTAAGGCGGCCACTTGTGCCGCCTTATGGATGCGCCGGCGGAGCTCACCCTCCCTCCCTCCGGCTACCTATGGCCGCGTGCCCACAGAGGGGCTCGGTGTGCCACCTGTGGCACGCGTGCCATAGGTTCGCCATCACTGGCATAGTGTAATTAAATATCTGTTTACCATGGTATACATTATTATTGCATAGGATGCAGTGGTGTACCAACCATCCTTAGATCTGTAAAGTAGACATATGGACTTTACATGTTCACAATGTTCCTTACAATTGGTCGGACTATTATGCACACAATCTTTTATTTTCTTTCATGGCTCTTGTCTTTTGGGTTATGCCATCTGATGTCAGGCTTTTAGTTAACAATTCCACTTCATGTAGCCAAGTAAATACAAACACTACGGTAATGTATCCCCCAAACCTTCTGGACATTGGAGATGCTGTGGTCTGTAGCTCCTATCATTGGAAAATAAATTGTTTGGTCTCCCAATCCTAATTACACTATAACATTAGCAACAACATTACAATATGAACTTCCTGAGCTTCAATTATGCTGCACTTTTGCACGTCAAACAAAACTAGAATTTTCAAGCATTACTTTATTGTTTACCATTCAAAAAGCAAAGGGAATGCTGTACATACGTCTACTTCAAGCATCTCTCATATGTTTCATTATATACATGTCAATTGCATTCCATTGGGGAGATGAACTTTAGCAGGCTTTTAATTTGATTCAAAAAAGCTTCACATGTATTTAATTTTTTAATGTACTTAATAGAAAGAATGGAGAACATGTTTATTATTTATTTACACACACAGGTGAGAATTCAATTGTGTATCTATACAAAGGCTTTATATTTTATACAAGGCCATACTTTTAATGGAAAGTATTTACACTGTAAAGGCCTGTGATTTGTTTATGGCTTGTCCCAGATTCCCCTATCAGAACAATGAAATATCTGAGCCTAGCTGATAAGAACAAACTGCTTTTATGACAGCCATATAAAAAAATACACATTGTATTCAATCCATACTAGGTTATTTAGATTATTTATTTATTTATATTTGTAACTTTTTTGCACCGCCGAGACTTTCGGCTGGCTGAACGGAATGAAGTATTTGCGAAATTAATTAAGACAACAGAGGCCTAGAGAAAGAAAAAGTTAATTAGTCGCGGCAATCATTTAGATGTGATCCAAGGAAAAGAAACAAAGGATTAGTAGAATGTCAGAGGGAGGACGGCTTCTCTGGAAAAGGGGATTACTCAAAGATTTCAACCAAAGGGACGGCTCTGTGTGGTTGCTCCTTTTGTAATTGGGGATTTACAACAAACACAGAGACTCATTACCATGAAATTTCTTTGTGGAAAGGAAAGAGGGAAAAATGACAATCCAAAGACGCAGGAAAGAAGCAGCAGAGCGAGCGAAGTCAAGAGAAAGGTGACAGTGAGAAAACCCTATTAGTCATTCTTTATAGACTGGATTTACAAACACCCGTGAGCCCACAAGGCCTCAGAAGTAAAGATTTAACAAGATATCGTAGCTTGCAAAACCCAAGTGCACATGGATGACAATATTATATTTAATTATACCTTGCAAAGGATACTTAACTTTATGCATTATGCAATATATGGTCATCTACATTCTTTATTACAAAAGATACAAGTTATTATTTAGAATAGTGCATAAATAGTTTACCACAGTCAGAATCTAACAGCACAATCATATGATGCATGGGACTGGTAACTATATGTTAAAACATGTAAGTCGGTGTGGGGGGGAAACATGTAAGTCGGTGTGGGGGGGGGGCTGGGGTGTATTTTTCAGTATTTTTCAGTTTGTTTCATTGTTTTTTGTGAATTGAATTATATTTATGTATGAAAATTAGAGGTAGGGAAAAGAAAACTTCATATTATCCTACCTTGTACAATTGATTCTTGATCAAGAGCATATTTTATGATAGATTAATGTATTCTCCCTTTAAAATGAATGAACATTCACTTTAACTTTATTAACTATTTAGTTTTAACAATGGTACTAGCAGAAGCCTCAGTGTACAGTAGTGTACAACATGATGCAGCTCACGTTTAAAGAGACATTTTTTTGGGCACGCTCTAAAATGGAGCCTGCACTGGTTACCATGGTGATTTTAGAAATATGTGCCAGAATTGCTCTGCATGCATACCTTCTAACTTGTTTGGCAGTCAGCATTGCTTGCGCAGAAAAGCCGTATGGACAGTGAACAAATGTGCTAAATTGTATGGAAGGTGTGAGTGACAGGTTATTATATGGTGTAACGTGTTTCCATGCAATGTCTTTGCATTACAAGTGTAGAAACAGAACAAGTGCATCATAATAAAAAGGTTCTTGTTTGGAATTATCATTACGAATGCTGAATCAAAACATACCATTTTGTTATAGTTGACATAATTTCAGTTTAGTAAGACACTTTCAAGGTTATTTACTACTGATCAAATGTGGTCTGTATTGACACAATGTGTTTAAAAAAACTGAATTTCAAAGGATTTTCAATTCACATATTAAGTAAAGACAAATCTAGAAGAAATGCATTTTTTTTCAAACAGAGCTCTGTGCAATAGGTAAAATTCAGTAATTCTTAGTTTGCATATTTATTAAAGCATCCAACTTTGCTGTAGAGCAGACACATTTTTCAGAAAGAGATTCACCAGGTATTTACAGGTGAATCTATGTAAAGTAATATTAAGACTTCAGGGGGATTGCCACTTCTTCCCCACCGAGCCTCCTCTACCTCATGCCTCCCCCACTGTTCAGAAGGTGGGGTATTAATGGTTGAATAGCCTCTGTCTGCTCATCCATTTAGTGGACATGACCTAACCTACGGCATGTTGGGTGGAATTTAGTTGGGTGCTTTGTCCTCTTGATAGTTACTCGGGGGTTATATTGAATATACTTTTCGTGCTACCTTTTACTGTGGTTGCGGACTAGTGGGTGCTGGCCTCCTGCCACAATCATTAGCACTTGCACTGCTGAGATTTTGTTTTCTGCTATTTATCTGCTCACAATGTCTACAGGCAAATAATCCTTATATTAAGCATTTGGATTTCAGCTGTGCAGCAGTATCTGGAGAAACTGAAATCTGATGGCCATTCACGGCCATTCAGGTACTGAATACCAAAATCAGAACATTGCTAAATCATCAGCGCCTGAATTTTGACTTTTGAAAACCTCCAGATGGTAAGGATTATTTTTGATTTATTAAATAACCCTGTGTCAGTACGCGAACATCCCCTGTTTGTTTCACGGTGAGCACCTATGTTTATTTAGGCCCAGTGTTATGAAGAGGTTAAAGTTTAATCATCATATTTATGTAGCATTTGAAGCAATTATAAGTGCTCAATGAAAAGGGTTTTGTATTTTCTTATCCGGCAGTCTCTCTTCTGACAGATGCTTAGAATATGAGGGAGGGAATGTTGCTACAGAGGGGAGGAAGAATGTATGGGGGGGAGAGGAGTAGAGTAGCTAATTCGTGGTTTTCTGGTTGAGCTGCTACCTAAAGCTTCTCTTCCTTATCTCCTCCTTCTGTTTCACAGTTTACAACTTTTAATTATTTTGTGCGTTTCGAGGCTCCATTTCCTTCTGAAATGTGTGAACTGCAGTCTGCTCTGGATTAAAAAGCCTAAGATTATATCAATGGCAGTCAATAAAAGCTGTGAGTGAGTTCAGGCCCCTCTGGGAATACAGCCTTTGGAGATAGAGGAGGTAGAAAGACATAAAACAGAGACATAAGCAGGGTGGAAATTACACTCTATTAGCAGTGCAATATTTAAAAACTCTTTAGCCACTGCAAAGAAAAAAACAAGCCAAAGTTGCAGAATGCCAATGGAAAGGTATTAAGGAATTTAAATGTGTCATAGAGTTTCTTTTATTCTTTGAATTTCTCATTGCTAGTGTGTGCAGACTATCGACCTAGCTAGAAGTAAAAATGGCAGAAATGCAATTGAAAGCTTTTAGGGTTGCACACTTAAGACTATAAAGCCACTCTCGACTTGGATTGTCATTCTTGATGACACAGTGGCGGAATGGTTAACTAGGTGATTATGGCTTGGGTCAGCTTTGAGGGTAGTCACATGGTCAGGACTGCAATAGTAGACTCTGTAGAAAAAAACACATTTTTCTTCCTGAAAAGATTGCTAAAGATAATCAGGCATTACCACTGTTTTAGAAATTTAAATTACAAATGTTACCCCTTTTGTGGATATAAGCATTTGGCTTCTTAAGTTAAGCTAACCTACTGGATTGCCCTAAAATAACAGAGCCTGGACATGTGACTGGAACATAGCCAGGATGTTTTCCTTTAAACTGACTCCAGTTATCACTTACCAAGTGCCATCTGTTTCATTGTCATGCTATGATTAATATAGACAATGATCATTAAATATTTCTTATTATTATAATGTTATATCACACTCAATCAAAGTAGACCTTTTATGTTTAAAAGTGGCAGCCATCTTGTTCGCATGAACGCAGGCAGCAGTGTTTGGGCATGAATCTCGTGAAACTGAAATCGGATACAGAAACTCCCGAACATCGCTGGACTTCCATCATCGCCTGCGTTCGGTTCTATTCAACTTAGAAGGGTACTGTTCGGTGGGATCATTCGTCTGGATGAAGGGAACAAACTCCAGGGTAAGACTATTGACTCTGTTCGGTAGTTTGCTCATTTTCAAACTACCAAACTAGACCGACAGTAAGCCCCAATTTCCTGGAACTGTTTTGGGCATGGGACCATGCGATCAGTCAAACAAATGACTTCCATAGAATTTCTGAACCCCTGAACTGATCTGGGTGATTTTTGGATATGTTGGTCACCCAGATCAGGGCTATCGGGGGATGTAATATTTGGGACTTGGGGATATTATGTGTTTTGGGGTACTTTTGGGAATTTTTATAAATGTGTGTTTTTTCTGCCTGCAGATAATTGGGTTAATTCAGTATCTGACTCAATTATCTCACAGGCAGAGGGGAGGGATTGTATGCCATGTGTGGGAGTGCCTTATATTGTAAATGTGTTATTATTGGTTTGTAAGTTTGTGTCCTTGTCCCCAACAAGGTTCATGTGGGCATACCCCTTGAATGGGGATTGTCATATAGGGCCAAGTGTGGCACCATTAAAATCTATTCCAGCTTACACTCCAAAACTGTGTGTTGTCCTGATATTGGAGTGAAAGAAGATTTACTCCTGTGTCTGCTGTTCCAGCTTGCAGGGGATTAAACAGGGAAAGTCCTTGTAAGGACTAGAGCTGCCAGGACTGAGTGTCGTCCAGTGCCTGAGGGTGTCTAGATCTAATTCCCCATTCGGCTCCAGGAAGGAGTGGCTCCAGGGCCCCAGTCAAGCCTGTGGGCAGAATTGCATCAGTTTGTCCCCTGTTGCAGCTAGGAAGCAGTCCTTGGCGGAGGTACCCAGCTGGGGTATAGGGAGCTCCGCTACACTGTGTAAAGGCAGTTTGGTGATCACAAAGCACACTTGAGGAATGTTATTTGAGAGGACATCTTTGAATTTCTAAGAAAGATCGTGGATATATGAATGCTCTCTACAAAAAAATTATAACACCCATTCTTGTTTTTGTTTTTGTAACTTTCATATTTTCCTTCTGTTAGCTAGTATGGGGAGATGAATATAGTTTTAGATCCTGTGGTATCCTATGCATATTCTGATCACATGCCATAAAGCAATTTAAAACTATATTACATTTTCAAATTCCAACTTTTGTAATAGGGATTTGAATTTTAAAAAATCACTTCCTCTACTATTTTCTAAATTTGATTTGGTTTAAAAGCCTTTATGAAGACGACATTTGTTAAAATATAATTCTTATAAAACCAAAAGATTGAATAAAATGCATTTACACACAAGGTTTAAATTATAATATATATTATCTTCTCTTCAAAAATTTGATGGAAATATAGATATTAGTCAATTAGTGCCATTATTTACAAAGTCTGCATTCATAATGATGGAATTTCTAAATCTTGTCTGACCTTATTACATACCGCGCATGTTCTGTTGAAATGGTTTAAAAAAATTCTGGCAAAAGCTCTTATCTTTAGTTTAGTGTATATTAAACAACCCAAGTTAGTTTAGCCACAGCTGAGATTTCTAACATTCTTTCTGTGGGCTTTAGCCAACTTATTTGGCCTGGAATTATAGTGCTTGAGAAAAAGACATGGAAAGTGTTTATCTTCTATACCTTCTGCAATTGTCTTATCAGCAAAAAGTTAGTTGTCCCTCCTTGAACACAAACATTACTCTGCCAACCCTCAAAACCTACCACTTCACATCCAAATGCTTATTCGAAAATTACTATGATGAAGCAGTTCTTTAACATTTTAACAAATTGATTCCTTGCCAAGGTGTCTAGAGAACAATTATAAAAAAAAGGAAAATACTGTCATCCACAATGTGCATTACAGTCAGTGACTTATTAATGCAACCTAACCACCATGCACATTTTTGGCCTACCCTACCGTAGTAATGGTGCTATTTTGTCTGATTAACCTGTTGGAAAAGCAGAAAAATCAAGCTTGAGAATATATATATTTTTTTTAAATTGAATGATTCATGTGATGGAGCTCCCATACTCTGACCGAGTAACTCTGCCAAGGCTCCTTCCTTGGCGCTACAGGGGACTCTGGAGTACCAACCAGGACACACAGTTCCAAATAGAACACCCTAAACTTTATTTATGAACAAAGACTAGCCTTTGTCGACTTGTTCTTAAGTATGTGGTGAAAAAACATAAAAATATACACAAACATGGATCAACAGCAAAAACATGTGTGAGGAAGGCTGAACTTGATGGACACAAGTCTCTTTTCAGCTATGTAACTATGTAACTATGTAAACATGCATAACTTAAAAAAAACAAACATAATACTGCAATCAAATGTATAATGCAATCTTTTCACACTATGGAAAAACATGGAACATATGGATGAAATTAGTCAGTTTATTGCACTTTCCCAATTTGCATTTTCTGATTTAAAAAAAAAAAATGCATTTTCCAGTTTCACCAACAGAGGGCAATGGAGAGTTAGCACAAGTCTGAAAAAAATTTACTTTTAAAACAAGGGTATATCACCCTTGCTTGCAACAATAGCAAACCCAGACCAGGAGAAAGCACAACCTGAATGGACCATTATTTTAGGGCATGGCCCAAAGTCAGTGGGAAGGAGGCTGGCCTACAATCTTCTCCAAGAACCAAACAAATACCAAATAACAGGTAACAAATTATTCTGTTACGAATCAAATAGCTCAATTGTCAAAATGTTATTTGACTGCATTTTTATAACTTAACAATTTCCTTCCTAGCAGACAACAATCCAAATGATGTTTTGTTTTTTTCCTTTGGACACACTTCGATTTTGGATGATGCCTCCCACAAGTTGCAACAGGGAATTGCAGTTATTGGTGGAATGTTATGTGTTACAGTTTACAAAATGTCATAGATTTTTCTTGTGGTATGATTAAATATAATTTTCTTTCCACTGAGCCGATTATTTTTTTGCATACGGTAGAACTCAGTTTATGGTGATAATGGTTTTCTTTTATAATTTTAATTCGTAACTTATTGTCATTTGTTTTATTTCTCATTTGACAATGTTCATTATTTCCACCTGTTTTTGTTTACAAGTCACACTAAAACTTGACATTGATTATTATTAATCCGCTTTGATACATCATGCTGTATCATGATACCTATACCCAATACTATTTCATTTTTAGTTTCTTATCTTCACACTTGTGGGTGCTGTGGCCACAATGCTTATATAACTGTGATGTCAGCAAACTCTTCATAAACTTCAGCTCATATTTAAATCCACTGCACAAGTTTCACAGCATCTTGAGAAAAGTAATTTGTGGTCTGAAATGTTGAACTATGGTATTAAGATATAATAAATGTCTTTATTCATTACTAAGAAAGTCAGCATTTTTGTATTCATTTTATGTGTGTGTTTATGTTTATTGACTTTTCACATTTAAAGGCACCCAGACCACTTCAGCTTAATGAGGTGGTCTGGGTGCCTGGTCCATCTAGGGTAACCCTTTTTTTTTTATAAACATAGCAGTTTCAGAGAAACTGCTATGTTTATGTTAGGGTTAATCCAGCCTCTAGTGGCTGTCTGACAGCCGCTAGAGGGCTTCCGCATTTCTCACTGTGAAAATCACAATGAGAAGACGCCAGCATCCATAGGAAAGCAGTGTGGATGCTTTCCTATGGACTGGCTGAATGCGCGCGTGGCTCCTGCCGCGCATGCGCATTCAGCCGAAGAGGAGAAGAAGAGGGAGGAGAGGAGGAGGAGAGCTCCCCGCCCGGCGCTGGAGAAAGAGGTAAGTTTAACCCCTTCCTCTCCATCCAGCTCGGCGGGAGGGGGACCCTGAGGGTGGGGGCTCTCCTCCTCCTCCGAGTATGTTTTCCTGGCACTATAGTTGTCCTTTAGGATGCTCTTATCATCCTTCAATTATACAAAAATGACAGAATGAATCCAAAAATAATAGAAAAGGGTGGCATGCAAATAAAAATACAAATATAAAAACAAGTACATGTGATTATCTTTTACAATTGTGTAATCAAATCGCATATATAGTAAAGAGAAAAAAAAAAGAAAAATATTTCATAGTATAAACTTTAATAACTAATAATATAAAGTGAAAGTAGTGCAAATTCATACTTACTAAATGAAGAGCCTGATAACCCAGCTCTGGTGACTATTGCAATTGGTACCTTTGCTAGGGTTCCACCCCACCCTCCAATCAAATGGCAAACAGGTTTGCAAATTATACCTCAAAGAGAATGCATATGGAAGAAAGGATAATGCAGGTTACTTCAACAAATTACATAAATACTAATCTAAATTAAAAAAAAAAAATGCTCAGTGTTTCAGCACTGAAAACTATGAAGCTGGAACTCCATAAAGATGTATTTCTTTATTGCAGATAAATAAAACATGCCAAACAAGCTAAAAAATAATATATTAAAACCGTGAGCATACAAAATGAATGCCTGGAAGCTGAGACGTGTTTTGCTTTTTAAACACAGCTTCTTCAATCTGCATTCATATTCATCCAGCCTTTCAAGTTTGATATTTAAGTTCCTAGGGGGTTGTAATGGAGCTCCCTGTACCCCTGAACCGCTTCCAAGCCAGAACAGGGGACAAACCACAGCACTTCTGCCCACAGTTGCCGTGGCTTGACTGGGGTCCTGGAACCACTCCCACCTGGAGCCGAATGGGGAACTTGCGGGAGCTCTAGTCCTTATAAGGACTTACCCCATTGAATCCTCCACACTGGAACAGTGATCAGTGATTAGCCCTTTCCCCTCCTAGTAACCAGATGACACATCGGTCTGGGAGTACAAGCTGGAATACTTTTAATGGAAGCCACAACTAGCCTTATATGCATGTCCCCATGCAAGGGGCACTCCCCCCTGGACCTGAGAGTAAAACACATTAAAAACAAATGCACGATTACATTGGCTCTCAGGTCCAGGACACTCCCATAGAAAATCAGATAATTCCTCCTCTGTGCCTGGGAGATAATTAGATCAGGAACTGTACTAATCTAATCCAATTATCTCCAAGCACAGAAAAAACATACTTTTTCCCAAACACCCCAAAAGTACCCTAAAAATACATAAACCCCCCCACAAAAGTCTTTTACAGGTTTCC